AGAGATATTTAGATGGACTGAAACAATCTCCTCGAAAGTGGAAAAGGAGATTCGACAAGTTCATGGCACGCATAAGTTTCATCAAAAGTCAGTTCGACCACTGTGTTGACTTCAGATTTCGACCTGGTAATTCATTTGTTATTTTGTTGCTCTATGTGGATGATATTCTAATATCAAGCAACAATGTCGAAGATGTAATGAGGGTGAAGGATGAACTCAATAGGAGTTCGACATGAAGGATCTGGGAGCTGCGTCTAGGATTCTTGGGATTGACATTTGAAGAGATAGAAAGTAGTCGAAATTATGTTTATCTCAAGAAGAAAAGTTTGGTATGTCAAATTCAGAGCCTGTTGTGACTCCGACAAACCCTCTATTCAAGATGAGTATAGATCAGTATCCTAGTACTGATGTCGAAAGAACTTATATGAACAGCATTCCATATGCTGATATAATGGGCTCTTTGATGTATGCTATGATATGTACTAGACCTGACATAACATATGTAGTAAGTCTTGTAAGCAGGTACATGGCGAATCATGGAAAGACTCACTATCAAGCATTGAAGTGGATTTTAAGTTACATAAAATGGTCTTTGAATAGAGTCCTAATTTATGGTGGAGCCTTGGGTAAGGATAGTAAAGCAACAATTGAAGGATATGTCAACTCTGATTATGAAGGTTGTATGGATTCCAGAAAATTTATTTCTGAATATGTGTTCACTATGTTTGGGACAACAATCAGTTGGAAAGTTACACTTCAGAAGGTCGTTGCCTTATCCACCACTGAAGCGGAATATATCGCCCTAAGTGAAGCTGTGAAGGAAACATTGTTGCTTGAAGTTTTTGTAAAGGAGCTGAAACCTCAAGGTCTAGTTATCATTGTTAAATGCCATAGTCAAAGTGTAATACATCTGTCGAAGAATTCAGCCTATCATGAGTGAACCAAGTACATTATGTGAGACTGCATTTCGTCAGAGGGGTAATCGAGCATGGAGAAGTCCAAGTGCTGAAGGTTTCGACAGATCACGATGTTGCTGATATGATCACCAAGACGTTGCCAAGTTGTAAGTTTTTCCACTGTATGCAGTTGATAAAGCTGCATGAAGAAAGCTAGTTTCTTGATGTTATAGAGTTAGATCCGAGTGGAGATTTGTGAGATATTGGATTGAACTCTAGTATGGTTGAAGGGTAGCTTCTGGTTCGACAGGATTAAGCATGAGGTCGAAGTCTGTTCGCATGCTGTTGTCGGAGTAATGCGTGTTGTAGTCGAAGTTTGTTCTAACATGTATTAGTTAATATTGCTAGGTTTGTTAGCATATTGAATTTGGCCTTGCTTGTAAGCCCAATTGTTAAAGTTAGCTTGTAATGGATAATTGTTAAAAAGCCCATTAGGTTAGTGTGTTAGTTTTCTTATAAATAACATGTTAGTCTCTCATCTTGGTATAAGGAAAAATAGGAAGATAAAATCCTAATTTCAAGAGAGAAGTTATTCTGTTATTCTTGTATATTTGTAATCTTGTTTCTAAGAGAAATGAAAGAATAACAATTTATAACCAATCCTTGTTGTTTTATCTTATTTTCTTTGTTAACCCTAATCTTTGCGTGTTTCTTGATCATAAAAAAAATGTTTATATTTTATTTCGAGACATCTTATTCACAATAAAATAAAACACAACTCTAGCACTAAGGCAATTTTTAATGAATAAAACTGATAAAATAATGATAATGAGTGAAATAGAAAAGTATATATTTCATAAAATGGGTGATTTAGAAATGAGGAAAGCATTTCTTTTGTATAGGAAAAAAAATTAGCTAAAAGAATCGTCCATGGACTTGGACGATGTCTAATCGGTTAGACTAATCCCAAAAAAGAAACCATAATATGCTATGTATCCTAATATATTAAAAGGGTTTCTCAATCAATTAGGAGTCAAACTGACTTTGATTAGATGAAATCTCTAATCAATTAGACAATGGATCTAGCTCACTCTTACATAAATTATAAAACGATCAAATACAAGATAAAAATTCTAAATTTTGGATCAGACGATCGAGCTTTCACATCTTTAATTTCTTTTGTTTGATTGATTTGATTTTTTTTAACTCTTCATCAAAAAAAACTTAGATACTTAAATTTTCTTTGAGCTTGCTTCATGACCAATAATACTTATGATTTAACTCTTTCTTATTCAGTTATTATCATCAAAACTTTTAGAAGACTTTATCCTCCATAACGCATAGAACCACAGTGTGATGTGCCTACTTACATTCTTCCTTATAATCATTTGACTAAATGGTTTTTCTTCTCACATGGTGTATTTGTGGTGCTTCTTGAGGATTTTAACATAACACTTATTACACGTGTAGTTTAGAATGCTTGGTGGTGATCTCTCATCCTCAAGTGGCAACTTCATTTCTTATTACATCCAAATAAAAATAAAAAATATCCAAAATTAATATTTCTTGAATAACTCAAATAAAAAATACAAAAAATTAACAGAAACCACAACAAATAGTGTCCCACTAAACCAACCATTAGATTTGGTATATACATATTGTCTAGTAGTTGTTTAGTATATTCATTCCAACTCCTAATCTGTGGCTCCTCTATCACCACGATTTCATTGCAATAATTCAACTAAAATAATCAGATAAAAATATTTAAAAGAATTATTAAAATTATATTTAAACAAAAAAATTAAATACTAATAATAGTACTAGTGAATCCACCAAAATTCAACCTAACACACTTTATTATTAAGTAATAGTACTACTACTAATATAGAGCAACTAATCAACCATAGTTGAAACAGCAACATATGAATGCCTAATAACTAAAACCATTAATTAATTAATCAAATAATTAACAGCCTAGTAATTTTAAATGTGGCCAACCAATAGAAGAGATTGTTTTCTTTTCACTCTTGCTTTTCTTTTCACTCTTCTTCCCTTTATTATTCTTTGTCACCACCACTTGTTTCTTATTACTAGAACATGTGCTTTTCGTTTGAGGCTCTTCCACAATCTCTGATTCTTCCTGCATCATTCACTTTTATTAAAATAACATCTTACATAAGCTTTTTGTACAAGGTAAAAAAAATCCATTTAAAATTATAATGGCTTATCATATAGTAATATAGTATATGAAGTTTCTAGCAAAAGAATATTCTTTTTTGTTTTTTAAATAAAATACTAGAAGCTTCATTCATCATGATCCACATGATTTTTTTCAGCACAAAATGTGGACTTTTTCCCACCCAATAAATTTTCATGTTAGGTACTAAAAAAACTCAAATTCTTATATAATGACAGAAAAAAATCATAAATATAAATGAATTTACTTACGGTTTTTTGTCTGCATTAAACATTTTTATTGGTATAAAATTAGAAAGTTTGTGTATATCTTAAAATTAGATAAGATGTTAATGTCATTTTAACAGATCCGTAGATGAATTTATTTATTTAAATTACCTTGAATTCAGTAGTGTTATTATGATTGTGAGGCATTATTTGTTTGTCTCCATTATGATTAGGGACATTGTTGAAGGTTGGAAATGAGTAACTTATTTCTCCCTTGGATTCTTGGCTTGATGAGGACTCACCAGAAGCTTGTGTGGAAGCAGACAGAGGATTTGAGCTTCCACTTGAATCCATCTCTACACAAAGCTACACATCAACAAACAAATTAATACACATTATAACATGTTACTAAAATATTGAGACTATACAATAATTAAATTCATTTGTAAATTGTAACATTAAATTATAAAATATAAAGTTGAACCTGAAAAAGCCTGTTTTCAAGAGAGGCAACACGATCCATCAATGTTCCTTTAAAGTAGTCTTCTTTGATGGAAGATTCAGAAGATTGTTGTTTATTATTATCAGCATCACCATTAACAACAGCATTGTTTCCACATCTTTGTTTTCTTTCTAAATATTTCATCTGTCATATATAGCCAAAAATGTAAGAAAAATATGTGACAATTAAAATTGATTTCAATAAATGAAAAGTAATTGCTCACAATGAATTCCAAATGATCGAGTCTAGCAATGAGAGGGATGGAAGAGGAATCATGAGAGAGAAGTTTTTGATGATCCATGTTTGTGTTATGATAAAAAAATAATGTGTTATGTTATGTTATGTTACATATGTATATATATTAGTGATTTATTTCATGATCTATGACACAAGAAATAATCAACTCATTCCCTTGTTTTTTGAGTACACCTCATTAGTCATACATTAGTTAGTTGGTTATGTTGTTACTATTAATATGGCAAAGACAATTTCTTTTGGGTGTGACTAATACTAATTATGTTCACCAAAACCCATTATGGGCTTATGGCCAAAAGCTTCTCTTTATTAATTGAAAGCTTCTTCTAGAGAATGTGTTTTGTCAGAATGATTTTTTTGGTTTAATAGTCTAGTCAGATGTTTCTATGTAACTATCAACTGAGTTGATTTAACGGAATTCGAAAGGATCCTTCTAATAAATAATATATGTATTTTGGAAGATTTCAACCTAGAGATGAATTGAAAAACACTCTTAATTATATATATTTTAGAAGAACTGATCATATCTTAAAATGAATCGAGTTTGAGGTTATATCTTAAATTAGACTGAGTTTGAGTATAGTTGTTTAAGCTAAATCAAGTTGAATCAAATTCGACTCATTTCAAAATCGACTTTACGTGAATGTCTGTCTCTTTACAAAACATTATTGTCTACATATCTCAGTCTATGTAATTTTAATTTTAAAAAATATATTTATATCCGTTATGTTAAAATATATATACTTTAAGAACAACTAAAATAAAAGGTTGCTTTCATTACCACTGGTTAAAGAATCATTCCATGAAGTATCAATAAACACAAGCCATTGTGGCAATGTTGCAATGCATGAAATAAAAATGTTGTAGGATTTGAAATAAAAATATATTTGAGCATTCATGGTACTCAATGATAACCCTCCCTATGAAACTTGCTTATGAAGTAATCATGCCAAAGCTGATCTTGTCATCTCATATGCCAAGAAACATGCTGCATTTGCAGGAACACTTCTGAACATTGCCGGACCGAAACCCTTATAAAGCCCTTTAATTCCCTCGGTAGCTTTTATCCTTCTGAAAGCATCAATTGAACCAGAAAACTTTGGATTTTTGTAATCATCAACTTGCAACACGCTCTTAACAACATCAGTTGGATAAACCATACACCAAAAAGCAGCGCCAGCCAAGCCTCCGGAAGCCATCAGAGAGCCTCTACCGAGTCCTGAGGTGTCGGTGCCTCCTGCAATTAATTGCTTTGTTGCTTCGTATACGCCAAACATTGCTGCGTTTCCAGGTATTTCACGCGCCATAGTGGGGATCAAGCCTTTGAAAAGACCCTTTATGCCACCTTCTGATCTGAGAACATGTCTGGCTACATCCATTGGTCCTCCGTATTTCACCGCCAATGTTGCTGTTCCTGAACCAGCTAGTGCACTCTGTGCTTGTAACCTGTATTCATCATGAAACAACAGAGATTTAGTTTGAATAACTATCAAGATTTTGAGTACACCATAAGCGGCGGTGTCTAACCTGCATTTGAGCAGTTCAGTAGGACAAGCTAGAAAGGAAACAGAAAGTCCAGCTGCTGCTCCACAAACAACCTGCTGGTTTATTGTGAGGGCCTCACCAGGAGACGATCTCAACAATGTTTCCATTTGGCCTCTAACCGTAAATAGGACAGCGTTGAAGGCGGCTACTGTAGCAAGTGGTGCTCCCATACCTTTGTATAAGCCCCTTGGACCTTCGGCTGCTATTGTCTTCTTGACAGCATCAATTGCACCGGAATATTTCGGAACCTGGCCGGGAAGTGGTGTAGGCTGGCTTTGGAGCTTGACCTTTATGGTGTCGAATGGGTGACCAACTACTAGTTGTGCAGCCCCTCCAATAGTTCCAGCAGTAAGGTCTTTAGCCACATCACCCATCTGAAATAAACAAACTTTGTTGAAGTGATTATGATATAGGTATTTAACATAATTAAGTGCTTATGGTATTGGTATTTATCATATAAGTGCTTATGTATAAGATATTTATCATATAACAAAAGATAGCATATAGTCAAATTGTTTTCATATAACCTATAAGTTGCTTTCATAAGATATCTTGAGCATACAGAATAAGCTGAAAACAGTTTATGGAAATATCATAAACTATTTTCTTAAACTCTCAGAACCAATCTCATAAGCTGTATGGACCTGTTTGGATTGACTTAAATCAATGAAATTCTTTAATCAATAATTTCACAAGACTAGCATACAATTTCAGACCAAAAAAGCACACAAGGAATACCTCACAATTACATTCAAAAGATACAGCTCAAAAAAGTTATAAAACAAGTCCGAAGCAACTGAAAACACAGAAACAAGAATACATAGTCTTTAAAAAAATTTAAAGGTCATAAGATTAACTTCATGCTTATGCAGGTATGAAGCACTATCACAAACCAATGAAATTATCATTTAGACCACCGAGATAACTAAGCAACCATAATTGTATCTGGAACAAGATCCCTATGGAGAAGGATTTTATTTACCATAATCCATAGATACGGCTTAGAAGTACAGGCCATGAATATGTGCGTTACTCTTTTTCATTCCATTACCTTTCTAAGGAACAATGCATGTGAAATAGCAAACAAAATGAAATGTTGAAACCCGACATGATACTTCATGTCTCCAAAATACAATGTCTAATGTTTTTCAAGAACTTGGCATTACAAGATGTCGTTCAAATTTGATATAAAGTAAAATAAGAGGGGTCTAGTAAGACAAAGCAAGTGCATCTTAGGATCAACATCACAACCCTATCAGAGGATATACAAATATAGATATGCATAACTACAACCACTAATAAGAATTTCAAAGCTCATGATACCAAATGTCATTCAATCAAGCTCATTATCTTAAATTATCAGAAGTTCTTACACCCTTGAAATCAACACATACCCATCTATAGGGAGAAATCAACAACAGCAAAAAGTGGAGATAACTAAAGTTTTATTCATCCAAGGATTGAAAATAACAACAACTCCAACATAAGGGTAAAAAAATTGAGCAATAAAACTAATGAACATCTTTTCAAGGTAGATCCGAAAACACAAAAGCTATTTCTTTCAATCAAAAAGTTGAAGCTAGAATAATATGATAAAGTACAATTAGGAATCTGATCATTGATGACATGTAAAATTATCAGTCCTACAAAAAAGGAGAAAAAAAACTTAAAAACATAGAAAGAAGGTTACCGTGATTTATCGAAGTAATGTGATATAGCAGAAGGATGAAACAGAGAATGGTTGTGATTGCTGCCCAGTGATTCAGAAAAGTTTAAAGAGAAGAAATTATGGTGAACCGCAAAAAGGGTGATTTAGCAACCCAATACACACACGATTTGTCAGATAGCGACTATATTAGCGAATGAGGGTTAACTAATAGTGGACACTGGACACACAGAGGAATCAAACGTCACCAATATTATAATGGAGTATTCGACCAATCTTGTTTTGGTTAATGTTAAGTGTCTATCTCTAAAACGTTGTTTTTAAGGAAAAGAGTTTTGTTACACTGTCCCGGCGCCAACTATGTTTACCTAACCTCCTTTTTCTGTGTTTTATTTGAGCCTCAAATGCTCTATCTTGTTTCTTTATCAGGAAAAGATAATTATGGAAAAAGGAAATTCCGAACACTCGCCAAATTTATTGTTTATTTAGGAAATTGATTCCATATTTCAAGTTCCAGAGCAATTAGTGTCAGATAATTTGTTGATTTGTTCAACATTCAAATGAAAATTAAATCATTTTTCCTTCTTCTTTTTTTTTCTCACTTACTTTTATTCTTATTAGTCATTATAAAATGATTTTATACTTTAACCACCGGAATACTTAACAAAAGTAAAATATGGAACAACTATTTTGAGAGAAAAAATACAAATCAGACACTTTTATAGATATAATAAATGAAAAGTAAATTTTTTATTATAAATAGAACCCGTAGTAGGATTTTTTATATTAATTTATTAATAAACAAATTTAAAGGTGCTAAAAATTTTAAATAAAAAAGGTTTTACTCAAGTTGATCTTGATTCATGAATACACAAAAAAAATCTTAACAAGAAGATCATCACGGTTGAAATGAAAAGAAAAATCGACATAAAAATGTAATTTTTTAATAAAGAATTAAATTGATATGCACCGACTGTATAAAGATTCTTTATACTGTCAATTAATCATAACTACTGATTTATTTGAAAGATTTGACTTTTATTTTAATCATTTGAAAAGTAATTAAAACATATGGTTGTGATGTATTGATAGTGCAAAAAAATTTTACACATAACAGTGAATCTTATAAAGAAATCGTAAGGTGTGAACCTTAATTTTTAAATTCCTAATCACCTATGAAGATATAGGTGTACAAAGTATATGACATTCTTTTATTGGTTGCTAGTTTCTTCATATGCTGTGTCAATACGAATAATTTTGTTCAACAACGTTCAATTAAAATGAACAATCCCACATGTTCATTCAATAATCCTTGTGATGGTATATTTTCATAATAGGAAGCATTTCGATTGTTCCAGAAAGCTTGGGAGAATTGTATAGAAAACAAGAAACTTTGAGCAAGTACACATTCCAAGCAGAAGATATCTGCTGCTAGTATTTTTTTCTTTCTTTGAAGTTAGTACTTTAATTATAATAATTACATGGAATAACAAATATCCACTACTAGTTTCTTTTTCATGATAAGACTTGAGAATTGCAATACTTACAAGACACGAAAATACTTCTGAGGAGAGGAAACAACAATTTGATCATGACGAGTGGTTGCAAGACTTGAAATTATGTACAGAAATTGTTCGGGAGATATAATAAAAGCACGGTATTTTCTGCAGGCTCCTCCAGACATATAAAGGTTATCCAACATCTGTCCACCATTTTCTGTATCCATTAGAGTAAAGATGCTACTGATTTTCACCTCGGATAAATTAATTTGCAAATTGTAAGCATGTCATTAGTAATAAAAGTGTGAGAAACTAGGCTTGACTGGAGCTGCTCGCTTCAAGCAATGGCTTCCTTTCCCCTATTAGAGTTGTGGTCGATTGGTCTTCGTCATCTTCGTTCAACATATCCTTACTTTTCAAAAAGGTTCCTGTAGAATTTATATGATTCAGTAACTATAATCTATTTATATCTCTGACTTTCAACAGTATAACTTCCTTCAAGTGATTAGTAGCCCAAGTTTTCTTGATTTCACCGTCAAATTGTTGATGTGCTTAACCAACAATAATTTGTATTCAAACAAACTTATGTGAAAAATACCATCAATTTAGTCCCTACAGTAAAACTTTCTCCAATGTAGTCTTTAAAGAATAAAAGTAATAAGTATCCTTAAAGCATGTGAAATTCATCAATTTACCCCTTAAAGTATATGAAAACCCGTCAACTTAGTCCCTAACATCTTAATAGCAGAGAGTAAATTGACGGATTTTATATACTTCTAGGGACTGCATACTATATTTATATATTTTGAGAATTAAATTGGAGAGAGTGATATTTTATGAACTAAATTGGTGATTTATACGAATGTATATATATACCTAGTTAGGGCTACTGACCACCTCACACACATGGAATTGGATCCTATAATGCAAGATCCTCTATTGCCCTCTTTACAACTCTAAATCTCTCGCTCTCTTCTTTTCACCATTTTATTTCAAAATTTCTTACCTGACACTAGTTTTCCCTGCTGCCCTGCAGCAGGGTAGTAGAGAGTTCAGTTTCCACACACACTCAATAAGGTTCTTTTTTTAATATATACCTGCACATCACCTTTGATCTTTACTGCCGCATTAAGTTTGGAAGACAGTTCAAACTTCAGGTTACTTGCAGAATGAGATCCCCGAAGAGCAGCCAGGATTGGCATTTTTTTTCTATTAATGACTTATAGCTCCCGTCTTGAGATAAAGAAAGGGATGAATGACTAATTAATTACTAGTAAAGCTGCATTGGTGCTTGCTTACCTATGAACCATATTCCAGCAGCAAGAAAGAAAATAGATGTTAGACACAGAGCTGTTTTCCTCCAGTCGTTAATATGATCCTGTGAAGAAAAACTGAAGTACTTAGAGTTGAGATCATGCTTAAAATTAGACTCTAAATAAAGGCAAAAGGAAGAATAGTGCCAAGAATAAACAGGTCAGCAAATCTGGACGATGGCTAGCTACATCAAAATGCAAAACAGAAATCAGTGTCGTTTGCGCCATTAATTTTTCCAACATTTTTTGCAACAGATTTTGAAAGGGCATACTACTAGTTATCTTCTACTCTAGCAAAGTAAGACTTGAAAGTTGAAACTCCACATCAATGGAGAGGTAAGTATAGAAAGACGCCGATAAGAAAACATTATTATGAGAAATTAAACCAGGCGTAACATGTATCCTACAACTGACATGGGATTGATAATCAAACGTCAGTAGAAAAAATAAACCCGTTCTGATAACAGATCATACTTAAAAGGCTAGACTCCAGAGTAGGTAACAGATCAAACTTCACTAGAGCACTATGAGTGAAAATAATCATCTAATAAATGTCATGTATGATGATAGACGGTATTTAACTATAATATCCTGTTATATATTCACCAAAACATAACAAAAATACAGGAAATAAGGTGCCACCTGCAGGACCCCAACAAGTGGTGCGGAAGGGACATCGCCAAAGATATGGATTGAAACAGTAGAGATTGCCATAGACAAAGGCCTCAAACTTGGTTTTACACAACGGAGAGAGACATAATTTACCGGAGCCTGCAAAATAGTACTATACCATCAACCAAATATTAACTAAAGAGACTATCAATAAAATAAGAATATAATTCATAAAAATAATATTTAATTGATGAACAGATGACTGAGACCTCTATCGAACTATTGTTATCCTATTAAAAGAAATCTTGAAGTGATATATCCAATCGAATGGGGATGTGTTGGGTTAGTAGACATGTAGTGTTTTTACTATTAAATATAAAAATGCAACATTTTCCCTTTATTTCCTGTTTTCAAATAGTTGTATGAGAAATGAATTTACTAGATTTTTTGGTCCATGAGAAGCACGTGCTATCCATCAGTACAAAAAATAAATCAAGCAACAACAGACTAGCATAATTAAACAATGTACAAACACACTGGTATTTGATCTGTGTGATTGATGTAATAAATATAGTACTACTGTTAAATGACCGGCCAAACCATGACTTACATTACAAAATACAAGGAGAAAATCCATTATATTTCCCTTTACCACGTACAAAGAGATCCAACTAATATTTAAAAACAATCACAAAATTGGATAAATAAACAAACTGATTGCTAAAAGCACACCATATTTACAAAAAAATAAAAAAATAAAAACCTTGTTTGTAAACAATATTCTTAACAATATAGCATATCTCAGCATCATCGTTTTATGTTGAAAAATTCAAACCACTTAACATTTCACCCTAGACATAACAAGGTACAATAATACAAGAAACTAATGTTATTTTATCATATTTTCCTATAAAATATTTGAGGGGGAAAAAAAGTGGAAACAGGGTGACACATTTGTAATTATTAATGAAGGCAAAAACTAGTTAAAAACCAAATAAAAAAACCTCTGGCACCACATATTACAGTGTGGAGTGAATCAAGCAATCCAAAGCAAGACTTCTAAAGCTATAGATCTATGGTCTGCAACCCCTCAAAAGAAAGTATATACAGTCTCACCATTAATGCAGACAACATAAGTATCCATTGATTAGATTCTTGGTTGAGAACAATAACTAAGTTGAAATTAAGGCTGTGGACACTTTAAGGCAAGAACTCCAAAATAGAATACGTACACTTGTTTGGACTATAGTTGCAGTTTTATTTAGTCTATTCATGCAAATAAAAAACCAATAGAATGCAATTTTCAAGGGATAAGAGAATTGTCCGTAAACTCGTCCATGACGAAAAGTATGCACCAATCTCAACATAAAATCCAATACAAAACCAATAGAATGCAATTTTCAAGCAAATAAAAAAGCAGGTGAACACTTTAAGAGATAAATAATGTAATCCAGCAAGTGATTTAGAAAAATACCTGGGTGGCGAATATCAGCAGTTCACCCACAGAGAAGAAGACAATGAAACCAGACAAGCCCTTGAAAAGGAAAGCAATCAAACAAAAGATTGCCCCTAGAAATGTTGCTCCAGAAAGAAGCTGCAATTGTAACAAAGGAAGCCAAAGAAGAAATGAATCAAACAATAAAGCATTAAATTACCATGAACGATTGAAAAAAACAACCTGGTACCATTAAAATCTCACCATGGAGAGATCCAAGGAAAAGTTAGAACTATTGAAGGCTTACTGTAGGTAGCCTTTCATTGTATTTAGAAGAGGCTGAATCCACAAATTAAACTCATGACCTCCAGTAACATGGAAACAACTCTAGTTGTTGCACCAAGTATGGGATATAGCAAAATTTCATACAAGGAAACATGGTGTGTGTTTGTTTCAAGGCATTTAAAATTATTTCACAGAGAGTGAGTTTGGCAATATAAGGTCTCATGTTTGGTACAAGTTGTAAAAAAGTATTCTTAGTTCTTATGATTATAGTTTACCCATGTTTTCCTATTTTCTACTTTCATGATAGCGGGTGGAAATCTCATTTTTCCATGGGAATATATTATAGAATTATAGAAATTACTTTTTAACTCTTATAATAATAACTGATATGAGAATTGATGCCTTGTGCATCTCAAAGGAGAGATATTCGGATCTCATTCAAGTTCCTATTACAAGAGTCTGCTTAAAGAAGTTCAACGAAGCCCTTATGCCATTGGTCCAAGCAAGTTCAACTCAAGCTACAACATGGAAAGCCATTGAGGAGAATAAAATACAAGTGACAATCAAATCAACCAGCTCGCAATTTGTGACACGGAAAGAATGATTGGGTTGTTGGGCAATGATCACTGTCCCTTGTTCAGGGTGTATCGTAAGTTGTGGCTATCCGATTGAGGTGGTCTTGGTGGCTTCGGAAAGCTAAGAAAAATATCTACTTTTTGTATTGCTTCCATGAAGACCGAAATTCTCCTCTATCATAACGAAAATAAAGCTTGAAGATTTGGACAGAACTTTGTTATTTATATATTTATCTTTCTTTAATTAAAATTTGAATTAGGATTGGTAGAGATTTGAATTGATAAGATTGATTTGATTTAATTTGATTCAAAATTCGTTTTAGAATTGTTTGTTTGATTTAATACAAATTTGAAATTAGGTTTAATTGATTTGTTTAAGATTTAGTCTTATCTTTAGTGAAGATACTTTGGACTTCGGGGAAGATGATTGGTAGTGCTAAAATGATGGATGGACTCTATTACTTTGAGGATGTTTTCGTGAATAAAGTTTCCCGTGGCTTAGTGGTTGAGTTCAGTTCTACTTCAATGAGAGATCAAATAATGCTCTGGCATAATAGACTAGGGAAGCCTAATTCTCAATATGTTAGGCATTTGTTTCCAGACTTTACCAACAATGTTGATTGTTCTTCTTTTAAATGTGAAAGTTGTTGTGTCCTTGCTAAAAGTCATAAAGTTCCTTATTCCTCTCAATCTTATCATGCATCTAAACCTTTTTATTTGTGTTTTTCTTCCAACCAATCGAAAATCCTAAAAGATGGTTCAACAGAGATACCACAAGAACAAACAAGTAATTCTAAAAACTCAATCCTTGATATTGATCAATGCAATTAAGAACAATGAAACATGGAAAATTGTGAACCTACCACATGATAAAAGAAAGTTATGATGTAAGTGTGGGTCTTTACCATCAAATGCAAGGCAGATGGAAGTGTGGAGAGGTACAAAGCTAGATTAGTAGCTAAGGGATTTACCCAAACTTATGGTGTAGATTATCAAGAGACTTTTACTCCAGTTGCTAAACGTAATTGTTCCCGGATCCTTCTATCCCTTGCTGCCAATATCAACTGGCCTTTACATCAATTAGATGTAAGGAATGCTTTTCTAAATGGAAAACTAGAGGAAGAAGTGTTTATGAGTCTTCGTCCGGGATTTGAGGAAGAAACAAGGAGTGTAGACTAAAGAAGTATATGTATGGGTTGAAGCAATCTCCAAGAGTATAGTTTGAGAGGTTTGGAATTGTGGTAAAGGACTTGATTATATTCAAAGCCAAGCAAATGATACTCAACTACTAATAAAATTGTTATTTTGATTGCATATGTGGATGTCATTAATTAACAGATGATAGTTTAGAACTCAAAAACTTGAGGGAGTGACTTGCTAAAGTCTTTGAAATCAAGGAACTTGGCCCTTAAAATACTTCCTTGGAATTGAGTTTGCAAGATCAAAGAAAGGCATCTTCATGAATCAACGAAAGTACATTCTAAATCTTTTAAAGGAAACAGGATTACTTGGATGTAAAGTTGCCAAGATGTATGGAGTCCAACACAACGTTGCAGCCTGCTGAAGCTGAAAATACAATAGATAAAGGAAGGTATCAACGTCTTGTACGAAGGCTGATATACCTATCTCATACACATCCAGACATAGCCTTTGATGTTAGTTTGGTGAGCCAGCTTATGCATGCACCAGGACCTGAACATCAAGAGGCTGTTTTCAGGATTATAAGATATTTGAAGGGGTCGCCTGGGAAATTACTACTCTATAGAAATCATGGACATCTTCAAATAGAAGCTTACACTGATGCAGATTGGGCAGGAAGTATAACAGATCGAAGACCAACATCATGTTATTGTACTTTTGTTGGAGGAAATTTGGTTAGTTGTTGTAGCAAGAAACAAATTGTTGTAGTAAGAAGTAGTGTAAAAGCTGAATTTAGAGCAGTGGCTCATGGAACTTGTGAGGTATTGTGGGTGAAAAAACACCTACAAGAATTGAAGTTTTACAATTCTCCACCTATAAAACTCTATTGTGACAAAAAGTCCGCAATATCTATTGCTCACAATCTAGTCCTACGTGACAGGACCAAACATGAGGAAGATGACAAGCATTTCATCAAAGAAAAGGTTGAAAGAGGACAAATATGTATCACCTATATTCCTACTGTAGAGTAATTAGCAGATATCCAGACCAAAGGATTATTCAAGAAACCCTTTGACAACAAAATCAGCAAAATGTCCATGGAAGACATCTTCAAGCCAGCTTGAGGGGGAATGTTGCGGAATATTAGGAATATTCTGTGAATATTCTTGTGTTGTACATATATTGTTTCCTAATATAGTTATTCTTGTTTAGGATCTCTTTAATTAATTTAGGATTCTATCTCTTCCTCTATGTAAGAGAGGGAAATCCCTGGAATTGAGTTATTGCCAAATCAAGATTGTTAAGGATGTTAATTTTGAGAGAGAATTATATTCATTCTTTGATATCAATAACTACCCTAAGGATACAAACTCCCTAGCAGTCCCTAAGGATAACTACCCTAAGGATACATACTACTTTTACTGATGAAAATAATTTTCTTGCATCTTGATCAAGAAACAAGATATATTTTAAATCCAAGCAATAGCAGACAACAAACAGGGTGATTCATGAGTTATTTGACTTGCTTTACATTGTATCAACTATGTTTACCTTGAAAGCATTTGAGATTGTTGAAGTAATCTTATCAAGAATCAATCCTCCAGCGAGAGTCCCAAAAATCCCACAAACAATTGTAATCCCTCCAAACAACAAGTCGGCATTACTCTGTTAAAAAATAACTGTCAAGGAAGTGCACCTCAACAACAGTACTGGAATTGTCCCAAAGTAAAGATAACAATAAACAAATAATATTGAGAAAAACACAACAACTAAGTCTGGTTCCAAATTTTGGTTAAGATGGATAAATCAACTCCATTGGACTCGATAAAAAACAAAATCTTAAAAAAAGACATTTAGATAAAGGATTTTTGGCAATAACATCTAACGATATTTTATATGATAAAATATTGAAGGGAAACATATGAAAATACCATATGGTAAATACTATATCCAGCCTTTGGCCCCCAGTAAGAGTAAGCTCCAATGACAAAATTGTATGATATGTACCCTGGCAATGATTGAATTCTTAAGTAAGGAAAAAAATAACATAGTTTGGAATTGACTACCATCTTGAAATTCTCAAAAATGAAAATCTATTCAAATAATTGGGCATTATGGTCAATGAAATTATACCGACAATGTTCCCAATTATTATATTAATAAACCTTAAGTTCCAGAAATAAAGGTTATTATTATCTGCATGTAAGGAAAAGGAACAAGTACCTAGAACATTTATAACATACACACGGTCATGCAAAAGCTCTTGCATATCTTTTGAGAATCTGGTGAACTGATTCCTCAAGTTGGATGTTAAGCTGGCAATCATAGGGTGAAAACAATATTTTGATTAATCTCTTGGATCACAAAAAGGAAACAAAATCACCAATCTCTTTTGACTATAATCATAATGGTGATCTCAAATTTACTCGAACTTTAGAAGGGGAGCCAATGTTTTAAAAACCTGACCTAAAATCGAACAGGTGAGACCTTTGAGTCATGGTGCATATGGTTCAATCCGTAGAACCACGGTACCGGATGACTAATAAATAAATAGGCTTTTTGTGTGAAAATTGAACTAGTTGAACCCCGATTTTGACAAACTATAAACCGACTGTGGTTAAATAAACCGGCGACGATTCCTAGTTCAACCAGTTGAACCGTCCGATCCGGTTCTGAAAATACTATGGGGAGCTCATCATGAGAGAGTAGAAGTGATTTTAACCATACTATGCAAAAACAGTTTAAAAGAAAAGTTCTTTGAAAGTAACACTGGGTGAAAGTGAGGGCATATGTGATTATGTAATATGTAAGACAATTTTCTTCTTATTTCTGTTATATTAACAGAAATGCATCCGTCTAACAGGAAAGGGAAACATGACACAAAGTGAGAGAATCTCAATTCCACTATGTCATGTGAGTATGCATATGCCTGTCAATGTGCATATGTGTTTGTCTCTGTCTGTCTGTCTGCATACTATCATTTTCAGTCTCACTGAGTCCTGACAAGGTAATCAGTCTGTAATAGGGTCAACCATGACTGGAAAGGATTGGGGACTTTAGGGAGGGAGCCTAAAGTCACCAAATCCCAACCCCTACCATGACTGTTTTGTGTGAAATGTTTTAATTTTATAAATATAACCACAACTATATATCTCTCTGTTTCAAAAACAAAAAATATTATGTTAATGGCACTATTCACTTAATGAAAATTTAGGCCATTGACTGTTTACTCACCGTAGATTAAATAAACAATTCAATTTAGGGTAATGGTAATTGAATTCTGCCTCTAATTTTATTTTGTTTTCCTCTTTTTTTTGTGTATCAAAAAAAATTTTGCTTTGGGTTTTCCTCTGCATGGGATTAGAAGCAGGAAACAGACAAAATTAGAAAATCAAAGGCAACAGAGCAACTCACCTGGATCCTCTGATAAAGGCTTGATCTTCAGCAAGCATGCCATCATCTATATAGAAGAGAAACTTCTAACTTTGAGTATTGAAATTATTTAGGTACCAGAAGAAAAAAGTGACCATACAACACTAAAGATACGGAATTATTTTAATTTTTGAATGATTGATTAACATATATAGCATAGCTTCTTCCTTGAAGATGAAAAATAACATTAAAAAGCTATAAGAGATATAATTACTATTTGCTTGCACTTTACCAAAATAGATAAACAAGTATACGAGTGTCTATCACAAATTTTTTTATACAAATAATTAAAATTAAAATTAATTAAAAATATATTCGTTTATATTTTTACGTGTGTGTTCATTAAACAAAAGTGGACAAATGGGCACGGGACGCTAGTCTATATAGAAGGGAAACTTCTAACTTTGAGTATTGAAATTATTTTAATTTTTGAATGATTGACTAACATATATAGCATAGCTTCTTCCTTGAAGATGAAAAATAACATTAAAAAGCTATAAGAGATATAATTACTATAAAAGCAATGCATTTTTTAAATTCACTGCATTTGCAGCCTTTGACTGAAAACCTAACATATTGCAAACTTTGATTTCAGCCCACATTCAACAACTGTGTTTCAAATAGTAACAGATACATATGGATACCTACCTGAAAAAATGTAAGATATTCATTTATTTTTGTATGAAGAAGACACACCCTATCCTCTTCTCTTTGTTAGTATTACTGCTGTTTTTCAAAATTAAAATTTATCTAAGCGAATTTTATCTGGCTTTGAATTTTCTCAAGAACCTTTTTGATTTATATTTCCATTCTCTGTTTTAATTTCGAATTGCAAAGAGTGCCACCACATTTTCACTTTGCTTTTTTGTATTCAAATATTTGTACAGGCACTGAAAAAAATCACTATTTCTCAAACAAAACAACAAAAATATAAAACAGGGGGAAACCTTGGTAGTACTTTTGTATTTAAAATCGAAAAATGTAAACACAAACCAAATACGCCCTGAATTTCTCTGTCCCCCATTAATTTCAAAAAGATACCTAACAAAATATCGAACATAAATTACCACCTAAGTAGTATACAAAATATTTAGACATACCACCATTTTCTGAAACATTTGCTCCGTTAGATGTTAGTGTCTTCTTGGATTCCATGGGAGCAAATCCTGTAGTTAGAAATCAGACATTGAGTTGCTTTACAAGGATTAAAAAAAATTAAGGGAATTTTGAAACGCATCAAACAGAGTAAAACCGTTACCTTTCAACTGCAAAGGCTTTATCAAAAAACCCAATATGGGAAAAGGAAGCATAAAAACTGCCTCACCCCAGAATGCAACACGCCAGTTAAATTGGCTTCCAACCTATACCACATTTTGAAAATTTGAAGCTGACTCATTATCAGACTGAACAATATTCAAGGTAAGGTACTGTTAGACCACATATACAGCCTTCTTATATACGGATAAAACAACAGTTTCTTCTGAAAAATAATCTCACAAATATCTTTTTTTGATTAATAAATTAAGAGCATGGATAACGTACTCAATAGATCTCAAAAGCATTTACAAATGTTATCTGTAATCACCACGGTTATCTTTTCAAAGACAAACGTTTTTTTATCAAACGGCGACAGATGACATTTCTATCAATATAAAAATTGATCAAAAGGAAATGAGTGGTCACAAAGCACCACTTGCTGAAGAAAAATGACCCAAAATTGGAAATGGGGTGTTTTACAAAACAATCTTTTCTAGGGGGACGAATTATCCTCATTCAAGCTAGTATCTCAAGCATTCAATTCCTCTTCACTACCCATATGTCTTTTGTATCACAGTTGGGAGTGAGAGACACCAAAATATTATGAGGGACTCTTCTTGTCAGGTGCTGCAGATATGAAACATGACCACATGATGATTCGGAAATATGTCATTGTCCTAAGAAAGAAGGGCGTTACGGTCTTCATATTGGTTTAATAGAGCATTGCATTGACCAATTTCCTTCGGAACGCCATTCTCTTTCACATCAGACATCTCTTTTTTTCTTGAGAAATTGTCTCCCTAGGGTATACTATTTTTTGCTTTCTTTACAGGTTGATAATTTTACGTGTAAATTTGCAAGACGACCAACGGGTAGAAGATTGATCTATTAGTTTGACCTTTTTTGTCTTCCTTTGTTATCCAGTTAATTTCAGTAGCACTCAAGATTCCACTATGTTAGAACATATAGGTCCAACATAGGGACGGGTAAGCAGTTGTGAGAATTAAGTAGTCAGATGGAAGAGAAATTTTGTATAAATAGGAAAATGAGAATGAAAAGAAACATTGTGTACGTGTGATATTGTGAGTGAAAGGAGAGTCCATCTGTGAAGAGGAGTCCAATCTCTTGTTCAATTGTCATTAATACACTACTATTCCTTTGACTTGTTTCTAACTTTCAAATTTTTTTGTTTCCTAACTAAAAGTTCCAGTGGATCTTCAGATGGAACTTACATACATACATATATGTATATCTATCTATAGTTAATAGCTCACACACACCCACATCAATAAAATGAGACAATACAATTAACAGATATAATAAAAAAATTGACATGAGTTCATGACAAAAAGAAAACAACTAGGTCACACCAACAAAAAAAAAAAACATCCGAACACAGTTATATTGCGCAAGAAATCTTACCAATCCACCATAAACATAGCCCAGAGCAGTTCCAGCTGGTATACACATGTAAAATGTAGCAAGCCATGCTGTTTTCTGCCATCAGTAAAAACACTAAGAAGCGGAACCTACGCATTCAATATTCATAATGAAACATTTTTAACTAATTCTGAATTGGAAAGGAGAAACAAGTCAAACCTGTGCAGCAGGGGCATTGTCATCTATGAACGGCGCAGCAAGACTTATGAAGGAAGCCTCACCTACACCAACTAGCCTGTGAAACAAAACGTTGCCAGTCTTGACTCATATATAGCATGAGAAAATGGTGAAGTGCTTGAAAAGTAGAAAGCACTAAAATATTCCCTTACATTCGGCATATTGCAATAGACCAAAAATCAAAAGAGCTGCCACATCCAGCTATCGCAAATGTCCAAACAGACAATCCAATACCAATAAGCCGGAATGGATTGTGGCTGGAAACACGGTAATGCATTAGACCACCATTCAATTAAACGGAAAAAATGGAGATTGCAACTATTTAATCTCATTCAAAACTACTTAAGCTTTCTTTTAGAAATATTAAATTACACATCAAACCAAATAATATAAAAACCCTAAACCTTAAACACTTTGATGTTACATTTAATGCATAAAAATTGAAGCAATTATTAACCTTTTGGCAAGAGAAGCAAATATTGGAGAAGCAATTAAAAGTCCAACCAAAAACGCAGATGAAAGAACTCCATCTTGAAAATTGTTCAAGTTAAACTCGCCCCTGAAAAGTGAAAAACCAAGCTACTATAACAAGATAAATACTAACAATTATTATAAACTAGGTTGAAGAAAAAGTGAAGGAATAATGTAACATACTGAATTCCAGTACCGGAAGTACAAACACCAGAATCAGTACAAGTTCCAAGACTTCCATTAACACCATTGCTAGCTATAGCTCCACGATCCACATAGTTAATCAAGTTTATGACACAAAATATACCTAGAAGCCTGAAATCACGATGATGTATTAGATTTTCTGAAATTCTATAGATAGAGATGAATTGAATTGCGAAAGTAGGGTTGACCTTTTGGGCGTAAACCAAGAAGGATTGGAAGTTAGAGCAGAATCGGGAACCATTTTGGAACTTCTGGGATTTTGGATTTGGATTTGGAAGTAAGTGTTGGCTTCAAGTTTCTTTTATTGTGTCGTGACGCTAACGATTACTAGAATCATTCTACACAATTTTACTATTTGTTTAAATTTTGTATCTCATAGTTTCATCATTCTTATTTTATTTTTCTTCACAAAAATTCATTATATTCAATTTATTTTACATTTTGAGATGTTGGACTGTAAATTCAAAAATTTGTTAATATGAATTAGTTCTATATCTTTTCATTTTAGTCAATTATGACTTTATCAATAATCTTCTATAGAATTTGATTTGTAATCATTGAAATTGTTTATCATATTTAATGTTATGTTATATATGCAGGTAGATTTTTCAGGTTGATTTTATTTTAATTCTATTAATTTCGATTCCAACATATTTCATTCATGATATAATTTACATCTCATTATTTTCATATTTTAAGTACTTGATTAACTCTTTTTAGATTAAAAAATAAATTATGTCAAACTACTTATAAAAGTTTTATATTGTTCATTTTGTCATCTTTTGATTTAGCTCATTTTCATAGTCTATGGTCGATTTTGTACAAGAGCAGTAAGTTCTAGAGCACAAGTCTCAAATTTTAGGAGGCTCCAAATTTATTTTATTTATTAGTAGTAATAAAAAAAGGATGAAAATGTGTAACTTGCTATGCAAGTTACCATTGTGCTTTTATCTCTTATGTGTTGCACTTGGCTTACTTGTTATACAAGTTATCAGTTTTTCTAGTTAGGTTGGTTATAATAGTTCCTAATTGATTTGTAATTGCCACTAGCATGTATATAAGATAGTTGGTTTTTCTCTCTTAATTCAATGAATCAATCACTGTTTCATTCACTCTCAAATTGCATTCAATTTACTGTTATGGTGTCATAGAGCCTGGTTTTACCAGTTATTCTTTTATCTTGTGTGCCTGCAATGGCAAGGAACAACAATAATAACAATGGTGGGAATGTGAATCTTGCACTTGATCCTTATTACATACATCAATCGGAGAATCCAACAATGGTTTGTGTCACACCACAACTAAAAGAGGATTTCAACTACCATGGATGGGTGAAGAGGATGCAATAAGTTCTTGCCAACGAGAACAAGTTCAAATTCGTAAATGGTTTGATTTTGGTACCAAGAGAAGATGATCTCAACTTTTTTACATGGGAGAGATGTAACAATCTTATGCATTCATGGCTGATTCATTCCATGAAACCACAGATTGCTGAAAGCGTTATGTACATAAAAAACGTTGTAGACATTTGAAATGATCTCAATGAGAGGTATTTGCAAGAAGATAAAGTTCGTGTAACTACTTTGTACCAAGACATCTTAAATTTCAAGAAATGTGGCCTTGGAATTTTTGAGTATTTTACTAAAATGAGAGCTTTATGGGGTGAACTTGATCAATTCAGGCTCATGCCTCTGTGTACTTGTCCACATGCATGTGTTTGTGCTGCTATGCGCAATGTAAGAAATTTCAAGAAGGAAGATCAAATAATTTATTTCCTTATGGGGTTGTATAATCAATACCAAAGTGTTAAATCTCATATTTTGTTGATTGAGTCTTTACTAACCATCAACAAGGTTTTATCTATCATACTGTAGAAAGAAATACATCTGGATTATGAAGCCAACAATCACCCTGATGTCAAAGTTGAAGAAACGAATGCATTGGAAAATTTAGTTGAAAGTGGTATTGTTGACTGCAATTTTGCCAAAGGGAGAGGATATAATAGATATTAGGGAGTAAGAGGCTGAGGCAAATCTTCCAAAGAAAAGGTGTGCACATATTATGGAAAGAATGGTTAAACTGTAAAGGTGTGTTATAGAAAACATGGTTATCCAGCATAATGAGGAGTTGCTCGAGGAAATGCCTATGTCAACAGTGTTAGATTTGATGCACAAGAAGTTGATGCAAAAATGGAGATGAAAGTTGATGGTGGAAGAATCCTTCACAAAATATCAATTCAATGGATTTATTATTTTACTTAAAAGAAATAATCTAGATGGAACCAAACATTCAACAAATATGGTTAGAGGAGAAAGTAACATCTACTATTCTGTAAAAGGAGCATGTAAGTACTCTAATCATGATGTTCAAACCCAAATTTATGATTGAAAATAGATCTTAGATACAGGAGCAAAAAATCATACTTGTAATTTTATAAAATAGTTTGTATCATATAGTGAATTAGTTCCTCATATATCAGTTGGTTTGCAAATGGAACCAACATCCAAGCTCATACAGCTGGAAGAGTCAAATTACATGATAAGCTAATCTTGGAGAATGTTTTTTACCTACCAGGATTTAACATTAATTTGATATATGTGTCAAGATTATCTGAGAAAAACAATTGTATCATTGTGTTTGAAGATGATTCATGCATTATACATGAAAAAGGAACTACAAATAAGATTGGTTTGGCTAAGATGATGGGTGGCTTCTATCACTTGAAGCTTGGTCAGGTAAAATTGAGTGATATTTTTCATGTTGTTTATTCAGGTCTAAGTAGCCTATGGCATTTGGGATTAGGTCATGTGTCACATGATAAAACTAAGTGTTTGAATAAGAAGTATAGTTACATACATGTTTCAGACCATGTAGCTTGTGATGTGTGTCACATGGCAAAACAGAAGAAATTGTCTTTTGCTTTAAGTGATTATAATGCAAAATATGTTTTTGACTTCATTCATGTTGATATTTGGGGACCTTTCTCTACAAAATTTATTCATGGTTTTAAATATTTCTTTACCATACTTGATGATCATAACAGGAAATTTTGGGTGATCATGATCAAGAATAATTTTTATTTTTTTAATTTAGACTCGTTTTTTAAATTAAAATGGGGCCTTCAAATTGTTTGTGTCAGCTCTATGTTAGTCATTTTCATTATTAATCTATTTTGATTAGAGCATTAGATTTTTATAATTGATTTCACAAATTTTGCAAATGAGCTATCTTTTGAAATTCTAATTCATAGTGGTTTATACAAAGATCAAAATGAGATAATGATAATCTTTTAAAATTGTTTATTTGATAAGATTGTTTATACAAATATCAAAATGAGATAATTTATTTATCAATTAATTATTAATCTATATTGTAATCAAGTATCCAATTTTTGACTCAAAATATATTTTTAAATATGGAGATTCATGTCAAATAAAGTTTATTGATATTCTTAGTGTATTATATGAGAGCAATTAGGCCATACACAACTAATAAAAATCACTTAGATAAGAATTATTAAATTATTAATCTAAAATAATTTATAAAATAAGGGATAGACTAACATTAATAACTTGTTGGCTTGATGCGCAAAAATATTTTAATGTACTCAATTGCATGTTCTAAAAGCATAATCTATAAGTTATAATTTTGTAAATATCAATCATTAGACGTCTAAAGAATGAATTATGACATCACTTTTTATTTATTTATGAATAAAATATGCTATGCATCAATTTTAGTAGTCATGTGATACTTATCAGATGATTTTTGAAAATGCACGAAGTACTATCTTAGTTAAATTATTTGAGAAAATAATCTCACAAGCTTCTAGTTGTGAGTTTGCATCTGATCGCTCCGCAAGTGCACGGAAATATCGAAGTAATATAAAAAATTGTCGAACCCACAGAGACCAATGTCAATCTACCGTTATCTATTATTACGGCGTAAAGCTAAGGCTATTGGAATTAGGAAAATTGAATGCGAATGAAATTAAATGCAAAAGAAATAAAGAAAATTGGTTTAGAGAAATGCGGTAAAGGATATCGGTATGCAAAGACTTAGTTATCTGGGATTCGACAGGTCATCGATGCTTCTTACTCTTTGAAAACATTGTTCAGAAGAAAATAGTGATCTGAAGACTTTCGTCTCACGATGGTTGTTGACGCTAGTCATAATTCTAAGGGCCGAATGTACGCTTTCGCTGTCCCATTCGGGGTTTAAACTACTTTTTGGAAATCTCTAGGTTCTAATCCATTTTAAAGTGCTTTCGCTGTTATTAAAACAAATGCCTAGTGTTTACTATCTGGTCTTGCCGCAGCTTTCGCTTGTTGGTTCGTACCTTAATTAATTTCCCACTTTCGTGGCAAAACTACTTTTAAATAAGTTCTCGCTTTCGCGACGAAGTTTATTCAGTAAGTAAATTTAAACACTACGGCCAGAAAGGTTGTTTGTAAAGAGGGAAGATGCCGGTTACTATCGAATCATATCCTACTAATTCGGTTACATACCGATAAAACTAACTTAGCCAGACATGATAATTAATGTGAACGGAAATAGAAATAAACAACGGAATAATAAAGCGTGCATCATAACAGAAATAAAGTAGTAATTCAATTAATAAAAACCTGTAAATTGTACTGATCTCAAATCCTTGGGTAGTCCCCCACAATGTCGGCAGGATTCTACTTTGGCGAGAAATAAAAGGTACAGGAAGAAAATACAATATTCTGAACTGAAGGAAAATGGAAAGGAAAATAAAAGTAACGATAAATAACTTTGATGGAACTTTGGCAGAACTTCGGGATGAAGAATCCACCCCTTTCTCTGTGAATCTCTTGTCTATTTATAGGAGATGTTTCTTATCTCAACTTCCTGAGATCATGCGTGAGATATGGAGAAAGTGGTAGTAACTTCCAGTAGTGGGCAGTGAGTGGAGAAAGTGTAGTAACTTCCAGTAGTGGGCAGTGAGTGGAGAAAGTGTAGTAACTTCCAGTAGTGGGCAGTGAGTGGAGAAAGTGTAGGAAGGATTTAAGTTGAGATTGATTGTGAATTCTGATTCTGTGTTTTTTGTCTGCGTGATGGTCGTCATGAAATGTGACGGTCGTCACACGCATGGCGGTCGTCATGGACCTGTGACGGTCGTCACAGCAGCAGAATCCGTATTTGCTGTTTTTCATCTATTTTTCATCCGTTTTTCATCTGTTTCTTCTCCTTTTCTTTCTTTAGTCCAAATTCTCCCCA